GCAATGTTTTAAACATCACAGGCCTCGAGTTCGAAAGTTGAACCATATCATTTATGTTATGTAAATGTCTATCATGTGGCTTGTATACAAATTATCACTTTGATTTTTACTATATAAGTTATTTGTAGGAAAAGTTTTAGGTCTTAAATACTCCTCCGGTCTTAAATTATGATCTAATGGGTTTTATATTTAGAATCGGAGGAGTATAAGTCATTTATAAGCTATTTAATGAAATTTTTAATTTTAATTTTATTTAATTCTCTTTGAAAAAAAGGCAAGAAGAGAGAAATATGAAAATGATTTGTAAATAAAGAGAAATAATTTTTTTTTAAAATAAGAGTCTATTTAAATGCATACCTTTGATATGTAAGAATTACAAGTGACTTATAATAAGAAATATTTTGTCACAAATAAACAAGATATTGAGAAATTGTCCATAGGCAAAATCATGATTATTGATATAGGCCTTTTCCCCATAAAATTTATTACCAATAAAACTTTTTTATTACCAATAATATGTATATAGTTCTCCTAATTCAGTGTGAGGCTGAGCTTTCTAAGTATTTTTTCCCGATCCTTCTGTTTTTTTTTTTGGCCTTTCTTTTTAATTGATATATTATATGTCTATGCGTAGTAACCTATCACCGGCGTAGCATCTCATGCAGGGATGAAATTAAGAAATCAAGATAAAAATTTTATATAAACGTTAATTAGAGGATTAAAGGTGTTTTTTGCTTCATGAAAATGCAAAATTTAATGATTTGTATAATTATTTTATTTAAATGTAAAATGAGCGGCCAACTTATGAAAAATCAGTATTAACAAATATTCTAAAAAATATAACTTGAAGCCTTGAATTCTAAAAACAAATCGCATGCGTGAATAAAATGCCTACCCCAACTTGCTAGTAATTTTGTTCTTTTTCTTTTTCTGTCGTAAAAAACCAATTGGATCAAGAGCACTTGGAAAAAGCATCTTATCATATTATTACATAGGGACCCATAAGACTATTTTTTGTCCAATCTTTTGGCAAAATACAAATTTCATCTTAAAATAGATTTTTTTAAATCTAAATATAAAATATTTATTCACTTTAATTTCCAATAATCTTTTAGCTCAAATTCTTAATTTATTTTTCTAAACTTTTTTTTTTGTTAATTTCATATATTAAGCGAGTTTTCCATAAGAAAGTAATTTCCAATAAAAATTATTAAAAAGAGCAAATTAGAAAAACCAATACATATTTTTTATAAATAAATTACTTATCTAATTTTTTTAATTTTTACATATCAATAAGTTATCCATCTTCTATATTTTTTTTGGCCGAAATCTATCTTCTATATTTGAAGCCACATGAATATGAGTTTAATTAAAGCAATGTAGACAGATGTGCACCTACAGATACAATAATGCGCACATAGCATTCATATCATACGATGTATTTAAAATGGACACTTATGCTTATTGTACATAATTGATGTGTCATTTGAATATATTAGTATTATATGTATGGTCAAAATTAGTCTAAGAAATCAACAAGCATTGGTTTTAGTGAAATAAGCCGTGGCTATTTAAATTTAAAATTTAAAACTTAAATTTGTGTAAATGTAAACAGTTTTTTTTTGGAAATAATTACTGTAATTAAACTCGGGAATGCTCAAATCAAATCATATTTGGTGGTATCAAATCTTAGATTAGTACAACCGAACACATGAAAACCACATGTGCAATCTCATGATCACCTTTTTTTTTTTTTTTTTTTGTGAAGCAATCTCATGATTGCTTATTAGGTCGTCCTTCACTTAACTTTGAGTCGTCATGCATCAAACACAACTTCAATTTCGATCCAATTTTAGACTAATTTTTTATTAATCTCATGATTATTTTTCTGGGGAAGTTTTGAAAACAAAAATTAATCAACAAATTAAATGATGAGTAATCAATTTTCTCGTCGAGGAGAAAAATTCTCAAGAATCGTCTAGGAAAAAAAGGGGCGTTTTTGGGCATTTTTCACATCAAGTTGCACCAATCAATACGTTCATCTCTAGAAATTAGTTATAATTAATTATTTAATTAACATATGTGTATATATGTACCAATTTCCTCGATTGTCTCTAATAAACCATAATGTATATCCTAATTAACTAACTAAAACTACAATGGAGTTTGGGTTTTTATTTTTTATTTTTTTAAATTTAACACTGCAGAAAATGGCTCAGTTTAATTCCACAAGAATCGATTGTTGAATCAAGATCTTCGATTAATTCTAAAAAATTAAAAAAAAAAACAAAATCCTTACCCGTAAAAAAGAAGGGCCACCCACCAAAGGTGTCCAAAACAAACTAGGATTTTCGCTAGAATATGATCAAGTTGTTTACCAAATAATGGCTGGATTAAATTAACTTAATTATATTTAAAATTAAACTGATTAAATTATAATGATTGAGGGAGTTTGATGGTTCTGCAAAGTTCTGCTATGTATATTGTTGAGCAGAGCCTAAATAGCAAATATTTCGATGTTTGGTTTAGTAGTAGGCTCAATTAAACTGCTTTTTTTGGGGTATAAAATTAACATAAATGTTAATCAATCTATGGTCGTGCCTTGTTATTATTTTAAAATAAAAATCAATAAACCCCAGCTCAAATTGAAGCTTGATATTTTTAACTCTCCCTCTTGTTACAATATTTAATTTGGTTTAATGATCTTTTTATTAAATTAATTAAAATCTCACCAAATTATCATTCTTCTCTCTCCCCCCATCTCTCTCTCTCTCTCTCACACCACAAGAGACGGAGGAGAAAACATAGAAAAAAGATTAGGTTCATGCGTGTTACACTTAGCATGTGGTAGCTATTTGGTTTACTTAATCAAAATCTCTTGACGTCAACTACCTAAATTAAATAAGCTAAACTAACCAAACCAATCATTTTCAGTAAAATAACGGCAAAATTTCTCATCAAATAAAATTATAAAAAAGAAGAAAAAACCACATCACAGTTGTCTTTTTTTTTTTTTTGGTGACACATCACAGTTATCCTTTCTTATAAGAAAAATGTAACCACAAAAAGGCTGAATCTAATAAATAAAAGAATGATAAATCTAATGTTAAAACATTGAAAATATTTTTAATTGTGATTAAGTATTAAAATGTTCAAAAGAACGATATCGAGGCTGAATAAAATTAATAACTTTCGTGGGTATTCAAATGTCATTCTCCCAATAAATATTGTTAATTTAGCGTTTCATATCTCTAGATTACTCTCTTCCCACTTATCCTCCAATCACCTATCTCACCTTGCAATGGCAACGATCAACTTCGTTGGGAGGCTGATACCACTAACAAGTACAATGTTAAACAGGGCTATGCTTTGTCTTCGCAGAACGTTACAATCACGAGGGTTATTCCTTTGAAACTTTGTGAATTTCTATGGAAAATTCGGCTACTAAAAAACAACTCCTTCTCATTTGGAAGTTACTACATTCTGCCAGACCTGTTGGAGAGGTTTTGAGGAAACATCATTTAAATGTCCAAATTGGCCGTCTTTGGTTGTTAGATTGATGAAATAATAGACCGTCTTTTCTGTTCTTGTCCCTGGTTTGGTGCTTTATCTCTTCATTCTACAGATATTTTCAATCAAGATTTTTCTATTTGGCTTTCCAGAACATAGCATCAACTTTTTTTTTTTCTGATGGCAACATGATAATGCTGAAGGGATTTATTGTGTTACTAAAACTCACCTGGACTAAGCGGAATATGGCACTTTAAAAAGGTCTAATAGTAATCCAGAAAAATTCATTGAAAGTTTTTGAGGCTCTTTTAACTTCCTCACGGGAGTCTGTAATTGGAAGAGCTTTTCATACATTACTAATATTTCAACTCTAGCTTCTACTTCCACTTGCCTAATTGCGATATTCGCAACATTTTAACTCTGCACAGGAAAGGTTAAAATTCAAAGGCATACCTCTTGTGTTGCTATTGTATATGCTTGTTCAGGATGAAACTCAAGCTGGTGAAATGACAATCTTCTAATCCTCTTCCTTTTTGCATCTCCTGCTTAAGACTTATGCTGTGTTGGATTATTAAAGTTGCACCAACTTTTTCTGCATTCTTAAATCACAAAAATATTATCTTTTGCAAGAGGAATTCGTTTAATGGTCTACTCGGTCGCTCTCATCTTAATGATATCTTGGAAAAAGATGTCAGCATGCGGTTTCAATCATTTTCTGGTTGCTTTTTTCACAAAACTGATGTTTTATTAGTTTTCCATTCCCTAACCTCTTCCATATGGAACTTAATGGTATGACTTTTTTCATTTTATAAAATTGATCTTTTTATCCAAAAAAAAAAATCCTCCAATTACCGGTGCCGGGGCTCCAGTGACTGATAATGGAATTTCATGGTTCACAATGGAAGGATTTTATTTTTAGTATGCCAAAGCAATATCATCATTTGGCCAAGAAACTTAATTCCAAAGAGATCCAAGGGCTGTTGTGGGAATAAGACATTTTGAGGGCATCGCTTATTAGATTTAAAAGATGTTTAGATGAAAATCAAACCATAATTTTAATAGTAATTTTACAATAGTGAAATAAGTAAATGAAAAAAATTTTATTTCGACTTGCATAAAAATGTTTTTAAAAAACACTTTCGAAAAAATCAAACGCGCGCTTATATATTAAAATTCAGTGGAAAAAAGACACGTACTTCATAAATTCTGTCACTTCTTTATGCCCCCCTTTTTTTTTTGGGGATACAATTCCTTATGCCCTTTTCTCTAGTTAATTATTCGGCCCAAAAGAAAGAGTTAAACCCGGAGCCCAATATCATGATCATTAGGCTGACGGCCCAGTCAATAAAAGATCCAATTATGCTCCCTTATGGTTCCCTCTAACTATCCGGATCTCATATAACCCGTGACCCGTTTCGTTTCGGGTTTCTTACACGTTACGGATATTTACCGTTGTTCCGTAGTTCAGCTTCTTCTTCCTTTGACACCCGACATGAAATCTCTATAACTTCTCTCTCGATCTCTCTCTCTCTCTGAGCTCTCAGGACCACTGATCACTGTCATGGACGGAAGCGGGGGAACCCTATCGGAGATTTACCAAAGCGCGAGGAAGCTCTTGCTGAGGACCCGTGATGGCCTCGAACGCCTCGAGCGGCTCGAGTACTCCACTTCTGCGGCGGGCATGGACACCGAGCTCTCCTTCGCCGTCAAGAAGGATATCACACAGATCCAATCCCTATGTGTTGAGATGGACCGGCTCTGGCGATCCATCGCTGCCAAGTCTCAACGCGATCTCTGGAAAAGGTGAGAATGAATCTTTATTCCTCGTTTGCCGTCCACATTAGTTGTTCGCCGTTTATTTAGTCAAAAACTTCTGATGTTGGCTCCTTTTCATCTAAGTGATTATTTGCTGTTTTATGGTGAAATTTCGTCTTGTACTTCGGCAGTCTTCCAATTATTCTAGGGTTTATTCATCAGGTAACTTTGCATGTGAGAAAGATTGATTTATGAAGATCATATAATATTCATAAGTCAGGATGAACAAATAAATTTACTGTCCTATAAGGTCAATAGTACCGTTTGTTTATTCTGTAGATGGTGTATGAATTCTTGAATTTTAATGGATCCAGACATGATACACTAGTCGTCTTGCTGCATTCAAAGAAGAATCATGTTTCTTTGTTCCTTTATTGGCCTTCCCAGTTACCTCTAATTTTAACGAGAAAAGAAAACGCGAGTTATTCTGTGTGATAACAATTGATGTGATTTCACATTTCTTTGTAATATTAACATGCGTCTGATGTAATATATTGGATCCTTTGCAAACTAATGTGAAGATTTGCTTTGGGATAGCGACGGCGATGATATTTATTTTTGATAGTTTACTGTTTAATGTCCACAAACCAAGGCACGTCAATGATATGGATATTATACAAGCCATATTAGGATCCTTAAATATCTTACCCGGACAATAGCGTATACGAATGATAAAACATCAAAATCAGTACTCATTGGATGGCACAACTTGCAGTAATTATAAATGATGTCTGTAAAAGCTTCCCTGGTCCCCCTTCATTATTAGCAATGCCCTCGATGGACTTGAAGTTAAATGGTCTCATCCTCCAATGCCTTTAGTCTGATATAGGCAATTTCAACAGACATTCAAAGATAATGTTAATGAGTCTTGTTAATCCAGTTAACGTAGCTCATGAGGAGTGTAGCAACAAGAAGGCCACTATTATTTGAACTACAAGCTCGTTGGCAGATTCTTATTATTTCTTCCAATGTTGCTTAGTTTCTCTGGGAATCTCTTTAGATCAATGGTACTGGTTTGACCCTTACGTAATGCTGAACTGGTAATCCAGTATAAAATTTTCTTTAGAGTTTAGATTATAGTTTGGAGTTATCTCAGATGCCATAAGCTTTGACTTACCAAGCCAGATTCGTGACTTTCATTTGCATGGGACCCAGCGGCCAAATGATTATAATCTTTATTGTATGTGCATTAGTATATGAAATAGTTTATTATTTGCATAGAAACCAGTTAGATTATTCCTTCATACTAATGAATGTTAGCAAGTTTAGTTGGTTTCTGTTCAATGGAACTAGTCTTGACCTTTGTATTTGTTCATACCAAGCCATAAATGTGTTTCTTCTTCCTATTTTAATTTTCTATTTTGTTAGTACATATCCCCAGTGTCTTTTGTTGGATTTACTGCTATATCTTGGTGATAGAGGATCTTGATGTGGGGTTATTATGCTTTCTGAACGCAGAAAAGTAGAACAAATAGCTGAGGAGGCTGAATCATTGAGAGAAAGCTTGGATAAATATAACTTGAGAAATCAAAAACGAATGACAGAAGCTAAAGAGAGGGCAGAACTGCTGGGACGAGCTGTATGTATTTGCTGCCATGCTCTGGTTTAGTGACTTCTTGATGTTTGCTCTGCTACGTAACAAACTCATTTATTGTGCTAGAACGGGGATTCTGCTCACATTTTGAGAATTTTCGATGAGGAGGCACAAGCAATGCAATCAGTTCGTAATTCTTCAAGGGAACTGGAAAATGCTAATGCACTTGGGGAGGCCATCCTGTCCTCAATACATGGACAAAGGGAACGCTTGAAGGTATCTTTCCTGCCGCTTTCACGTATGACATACACTGCTATAGAAACATGTCACTCCTGGAAAATCAATGTCTGCTAGGACGTAACATGGCACAACAAATTGATGTTGTGGAGTTTAGATATGTTACCATGGCATGGCTAACGGCAGATTCTGTTTTTGTTATATTTTATGGTTGGAACTTGAGAGAAGCTGTTTCTGTAAGAAGCAGCTACAGCCCAATAGTGATAAGATATAGTTGTGTGGTCAGTTTCATTTTACATTATCTTTTAATCCTATGAGATGGCAAGAACTTTTTGCCAGCTTTCCATTGTATATTGAACTTCTTGCTTTTCAAATCAGGGGAAATTATGAAATTGGAGTTTAGCATATTTCTCAAGTGCAATATATTTCATGGGATACTAGGAGAGCATTGTCAGGAATTTCATTCTCCATTGTAGTTCATTCCGGAGTGTGTCTAGACACATGGCTGTTAATGATGTGTTCTGCTAATATGCGTTTTTTATTTGAATTCTGTGTTTGTGCAGAGTGCACAGCGGAAAGCATTGGATATCATCAATACAGTGGGAATATCAACCACCGTTCTGAGGCTCATTGAGAGACGGCATCGTGTTGACCAATGGATCAAATATGCAGGCATGCTTCTGACTGTCATTTTCTTGTTTGCGTTTATTTTGTGGAGACGCTGACACTAGGACCTGTCGGGAGTGAGCTATCCTGTTTGATTCTTCTTCTTCTTTTCTTCTTCTCTTCTTTTTTTTAAAATTGCCTTTCAAAATATATGTGGAGAAATGCATATAGAATTTATATTCAAGGTTTATCATGCTGAGAAGAGCAGAACAGAGTATGTATGAAGAACATAGTTGTGGAACCTCCATAGCATTTATATAACGTACAGAAGGCTGCGTATATGTTCCATCAATGACCTTTTTCCAGGTCTCCCTTGAATTTTATAACATATTCGTGTTTTTGTGACTCGTGATCATATTGTCATTTTTTATTGTTCGTATCTCTAAAGAGCGTTGATAAATCATAGAATAACTTCGGAGATTTGATATTTTTGATTTTAAGGCATTTTGAAAGTGAGAAATGGCTAATTATTCTTTGACTGGCTTGTGAGAAATAGTAGAGTACTGGGTAGGCCTGCACATTGTGAAGTAACACATCTATATTTAATTTTCATACCTAAAATTTATGGGTAATTTTCTCATGTAATAATAATGTGAAAAATAAATTGAAAAATCACTACAAGGTTTTAAGGAGAAGATATAATTACTAAAAAAAAAAAAATCTTACAATGGGTGAGTAGAATAATGATGATGCTATAGCTTCAATCCGATTAATTCTTACCAAATTAGTATTTGCAATTTATGAGGGTCGTTCTAGCTATATACGAAATTTTTGATTAATAATAAGATAAGATAAATAAATTATTTGGTTTGGGAACTCCATAGATTTATAGAATCGGTTACTATACTATTACTAAATCACTGAATCACGCAAAAAAGAATAACCGGAGATATTATGTGATTAGTTGGTATTCAAAATCAAAAATTGAAGTAGACAAGCATGATCTGATTCCGGATGAGAATACCCGAATAAATTTTTTGATTATTACATTTTTAATTTAAAGATCTCACTACAATTTTCTCATAAAGTTTAATGTGGTCTCAAGAGTAGTTTAGTTAGCCTTTGTAGGCATCTTACTCGTCCTTATTAGCATGACAGCGAGGAGCAATACACTATCGACGTCTTATATAATATTTTTTCAGCTCTAAATATAAAAGTTACTCCTCCAGTCCTAAATATAAAACTCTTATACTAGTGTGTATAAAGGTTTTATATTTAGGACCGGAAAAACATTTTGTAGTGTAATTTATAAAATAGGTGTTATATTTAGAATCAGAAAAGTATTTTTCAAGCAACTGCTGAAGTTCCAAGATTGCCCTGAAGATACATATTTAATGACTAAAGTGAAATTAACTCGGCCAAAACAACATCATTTAGTGTAATACTACCTCCGGTCCTTAATATAAGACCTCGTTTGATTTTTATTTTGGTCCTAAATATAAGACCCCAATCCACTTTGTCTCTCATTTATACATTTTTTTTCAAAATAGCTCTTCTAACAATGATAGTTGTAGTTAATACACTTGATTAGTAAGAATATTTTAGGAAAGACAACATCTATTTAAGACAAATAACTAACTCAACTTACTTTTTTAATCCCCTCAAATTAGTTAACTGGCTCTTATAATTAGGATCGGAGGTAGTATTCAGGAGGGGGGTGGGGAATACTAATCCACTTGACTATTTGGATTAACTACGTTGCATCGGTCAAAATTGGGCTTACAAGGTTAATCGTGTCCATTCAAAGTCTTATTCAATCATAATTTCATTAGGACACGAGGTCAACTCATCATGTCGGGTTTTAATATTATGATTTTCAGTAAACTTGTTGAAATATTCGAAAACATATAGCCCAACAATAACAGTATATAGAAGAAAAAAATGCTAATTATTTGATAAATTGAATTCATGGATAACTGCGTAGCTAAAGATAAAAAATTGACTGAATAAATAAATATGTAGTCAATTTTTTCAAAAAATAAGTTATAAAAACTAAATAGAGAGTAACAAGAATTAAAAAAATAACAATGAATAACATAGCATATCATATCGTAATAATAACAGTATATCCGACAATAATAATTTTGAATTTTTCAACAAATCAAAATATATTGATAATTGTATAGTTGAAAATAAAAAAAATTGACTGAAAAATTAAATACCTGCCAATTTTTCAGAAACTAACGAAAATTCAGTCCTACTGTTTACTAAATAAGAAGAATAAAAATAAATAAGTAAATATTTTGCTCATAAAAATAAATCTGTTATAAGATACAAATAAGTATAATAACCTAAAAGTCCTATCGCCAGAAAAAAACTCAATAGAAATTGAAATGATACACCATGTTTATAATGCAAAGAGTAATAAATATAGATTGAAGTCCATCAGGCAAAATGATAATTTAGCAATATAATGCCTACCAATTTTTTTTTGCTAAAACATAAGCATCCTCTTATTGGAGGCAGTCCTATTTAAGACACTATCGGGTACTAAATGTGAGTACCTCTCTCAGTAGGAATTCAAACCAATGCCTACCAAATTTGTTGCTGCACTAGTCTTCCCATGTTTCTTATTTTTCAAAAGCCAACCTCCAGAAGAACCACCATTTGAGGAGTCTAATGCAACGGTCATCAACTTATCCTGCACAAAAAAAAAAAAAAAAGAACAAAATGCATAGAAGGAAATTAAGTGACTCAAAAGCTTTCCACACACAAACACATGCAACCCTACGACTACAAACACATACCTGATGAAAGAAAGCCAACATTTACAAAAGCATTGACAAAAGCAATAGGCAGGTCTTGTCTAGTTGAATCAACACAAACACTAACACTAACCCAACAATCAAGCAAGTTTGCTTATAGGAGGAAAAAACAGTAAATTATGGGTTGAAAAAATCCAAGCAGAAACTACCTCTGGTCCTAACTATAAGACTTCATTCATAGTTTATAAATAAAATTTTATAATTAAAACCAGAAGTAGTAGTAATCAAAATCACAGGCACTTAACTTGTAGTTGTTTATGATATTCTCCAGCACCCCCCTGTCATCATCAAAAACAGTAAATTATGAGATTGAAAACAATCCAAGAAGATAGCGATCAAAATCACGAACAGGAAATAGATATCCTTTACTTGTAGTTGTTTGTAATATCCTTTCAGCATCTCCCTGTCGTCATCAAAAACAATAAATCATGAGGTTGAAAATAATTCAAGAAGATAGTAACCAAAATCACAAGAAATAGATATCCATAACTTGGAGTTGTTTAAGATATCCTCCAGCACCTCCCTGTAATGGAAATAGTAATCAAAAAATCAAATATCTTTTTAAAATAAACACACCATCTTAAATATACATTTTTAAAAAAAGAAAAAAAAGACTCAAACATAAATTATAATTCTCCTGTTTTTAATATAGGACCTAATTGTTAAGCTAACCTTGATCATAAATACCACCTCCGGCTCTTAATATAAGACCCTATTTGACTTTTATTTTGGTCCTAAATATAAGACCCCAATCAATTTTGTCTCTCATATTTTATTTTTTTTCAAAGTAACCCTTCTAATAATAAGAGTTCTAGTCAATATACTTGATTAGCAATGATATTTTAGGAAAGATAACACCTATTTAAGACAAATAACTAACTCAACTTATTTTCTTAATCTCTTCAAATTAGTCAACTGGCTCTTATAATTAGGACCGAAGGTAGTATAAAACATATATTTATCAATTTTTTTAAAATTATCTATATTGATACTTCCTTAACCATAATCAAGTAGGAGAAGAAGGAAGATATTACGAAAAATGATTATGGTGTTTTAAGAAAAATATATTATATTTTTTATAATTAACTAACTTACCTAACTTTTTTTATTTAATAAAATTAGTTAAATAGATGTTGCGTTAAAAACCGGAAGAGTATTACACATCATTAGTCTCGCATGACGCTCATCTTCACCCTTTTTCCTCCCAATGCTAGTGGGTACGCAGCAGACCCATGCCATGACATTAAAAGCTCACTTAAAACTCTCATGCTTTTCTTTTTCTTTCTTTTGTTTTTTTTTTTTTGTGGATAAAAGACTCGTGCTTTGCTATACACTAGTCACTATTCCATGCACATATCCTCTGCTCAATTTTCACCTCTAAACTGCTTCGGCAATAAAATGTATCAATTTGTCCGCCTTACAAAATCAACCAAAACTAGAATAAAACCAATGTTCATAATGATTTATCAACCATGCAATCTCAACTCGAAGAAAAGCTTACTTTAATCTTGTCGTTGGAGTCAGAATTAGAAGTAGGACAAAACTTAGGTTAAGTTAATTAAGTCTATTATATTCAAGTATCCAATCAGCTTCTGCCACGTGGATTAGTTTTTCCTATCAGCATTTAACCCGAAATCCATTGTTAGGCCACCGTTAATTCTGAAAAAACTCTTTTCTTTTTATAATAAAAGAGAAAACGAAAGTCCCCAAGGTTGCAATCTGCAGTAAGTATTTTGGTGTGTGAAGAGATTGGGATAATTGGCGGAAGCCCAACTTATATAGGGTCAGTTTGGATTAACGATTAGAAAAGTAACTTTTGAAAAATTGAAGTTGGATAAAAGTGGATAAGCTGAATTGTGCTTGGATTGGAGTTTAGAAAAGTTAGTTTGTAAAAGTGAGATTAGTAAAAGATTATTTGGATTATAATTGAGTAAAAGTAAGTTTAGTTGTAAAATTATTAAAATGGGTATGAGTTTTAATAAATAATGAAACATAGTTAAAAAAATAATTTTACATAATACAATAAAATTAAAATAATTTAATATAAAGAAGTCAAATTGAATGAGTGAATTAAATTTTAAAACTCCATAAAAATCATAAAAAATATTGTAAATATAATGTGAGGCATGAAAAAAAATGAATTGAGATAATATAATGAAAAAGTAAAATTTAATGAGCAAAATAAATTTGAAAATTTTAGAGAAATCATAAAAAATATTTTTAAATATAAAGTGAAACATGATAAAAAAAAATGAATTGACATACTAGAATGAATTTAAATGAGGAAAGGCAGGAATAAATGAGGAGAGGCACGAATAAAAATACATTTGATAAGAAAATAATTTTCCAACGGTTCAGTATAAGCACGATGCCATTTTAAAAAGCTCCTCCCTTGCAGCTTATTAAAACACATGGTTTGATTAGTGATTTGGAACTGAAGTAGGATGGCCCAAAAGCTGTCCCAAACACCCTTACATAACCAATCGGGCTTATTAACTACTTAAACCTCATTTTGGCCTACAAAATGCCCATCCAAACAGACAGATAATAGAGACATAAAAGGAAGAGAAAGATAAACCACATC